CCAAGCCCGCCGGCCAATTCACTCCCAAGCCCTCAGCTGACAGTAGCTTTCTCCCTCACCTCAAACCAGGGGAGGAATCTAAGGAGGAAAAGGCTGTTAGCTCGAGTCTATGAGTCCGCTCCAGTGTCGTCTCCAGCCCCTGAGTCCGCTCCAGTGTTGGCTCCAGCCCCTGAGTTCGCTCCAGTGCCAGCTCAGGTTCGAACCCTGGCCGGCTTCGGGGTCCCTGACCCCCCCAGGGGCCCGACGGGAGCCCACCAAAGTTTTTGAGCCCCAAAAGCAGTTCAGCCTTTCCCCAGAGGGTGGCGCACAGACATCGCACCCCAGGATTACGACAGTGGCCTTCACCCATATGGGGGGTGGACACTTTTTCGTCCCACGAACCCACTATTTGTCCATTCGCCCACTGGAGCGCCGGAATGACCCCTGGACCCCCGCTGACCACTGCTGACCGCTGCCCCAGGCCACGCCCCCAGGTCCCACGAACCCACTATTTGTCCATTTGCCCACTATGTTGACGGAATGACCCCTGGACCCCCGCTGACCGCTGCTGACCACTGCCACGCCCCCAGGTCCCACGAACCCACTATTTGTCCATTTGCCCACTATGTTGACGGAATGACCCCTGGACTCATGCTGACTGCTGCTGACCACTGCCCCGCCCCACGCCCCCAGGTCCCACGAACCCACTATTTGTCCATTTGCCCACTATGTTGACGGAATGACCCCTGGACTCATGCTGACTGCTGCTGACCACTGCCCCGCCCCACGCCCCCAGGTCCCACGAACCCACTATTTGTCCATTTGCCCACTATGTTGACGGAATGACCCCTGGACTCATGCTGACTGCTGCTGACCACTGCCCCGCCCCACGCCCCCAGTTCCCACGAACCCACTATTTGTCCATTTGCCCACTATGTTGACGGAATGACCCCTGGACCCCTGCGGACCCCTGCGGACCCCCTTGGCCACGCCCCCCAGGGCCCACTAATCCATTATTTGGCCATTATAGTGACGGAACGACCCCGGACCCCCGTGGACCC